TAATGAGCACTGCTCATTTATAACTGAAAATTCAGTTAATCGTTCGCTTATTGATGAATGCTCCTTTCGATTAGAAAATTTATTAGAATTTGTTCTGACAACACATTGACGATGCATCTGCTCATTTCTTTGCGTCTAAACAATCAACGTCAAGTAAATCCTCATACAAAAAAAAAGACTAATTGGAATCCATTTTTATTTAATCAACGTCAAGTAAATCATCAGCAACGAAAATAAAATTTGTTCGCTAAAAAAACCAATTAAATCCGAAAAATAATCAACGTCAAGTAAATCGTGCACACGCAACAGGAAAGGTATGAGCAAATGCGAGTGATATGATGAAAAAAAACAGATAATGAAATGTAAGCAAATTACAAACGAAGAATAAATAATGAAATGTAAGTACATGACGAACAAACAAGATTTGATGAAGAATCACACCTCTCTAAAACATTTGGTGATCAGTTGTATCTAACGATTTTTGGTGACCAAAAGTATCTTTTTTTGGTGATCAAAAATACAATTACTCGTATAATTTAACCTCTTAAAATAGATCATCAAAATGCGCTTTTTTTTGTCTTTTGTTTTAATATTAATTGCTTGATATAAATTTCTTTGATGATAGCCGTATGCAGTACAGAATTATGGAAAAGACTCTAGAACTATTCACCTAATTGGATTTATGAATAGTTTGTCCTCATTTTTTTGCTTTCTTACTGCAATTAGATGAGAGAGACACACCATGTGCATATCCATGATTATCTTGAAAATGAATGAAGTGACACTGTTTGTTACTTATAATTTGAGCTATTGATCACGTCTCTGCAGTACGCTGTGCGAAGCACAGCATTCATGTCGATCTGCGCATCAAAAATTTTCATTTTGTATTGCGATCATCTCAAGAATGAAAACCTAGAGAATATTTTTTCAAGCATAAAGCGAAAGTATGGTGATTGAATTGATACCATTTTTTTTCAATTTTATGAGGAAATTCTGTTTTCTTAAAAGTAGTGCTTCAAAAAGACAAAGTCTTCTCAATTGAATCTTTTTTTTTTCAACATTCGAGATAATTAAAATGAAGAAAAAGATAAAAGTTAGTTGCTGCTCTCTTGGTTTATAGGTAAGATAGTTGTTCATAAAATTGATGATAGATAATGAGTCAGAAAGAGAATCAAGTGTTCAATTAATAGTCTTCAGTAAAAACATGTTGATAGCTCTTAAAAGAGTTCTCTTGGTAATGAATTTCGAAATGCTGATTTTTTTATTTTCATTTTAACTTTGATCGCAGAACATTTACTCCTTTGGAATATATTTGCATCTATTTATACTCGCTCTTATCTTTAGAATAAATTATAATCGAACTAGAAAGATATTGCATGATGTGAACAATTATAAGAAGAGAGCTTGAAACAATTGCTTATAGTGGATGATTCTCTTCTAAAAGATGTTTGGATAAATGCACTTAGAATAAGCAATATATGAGCGTGCGGATTCTTTCAGAATTTAGATGACACTCATTTTTATCATAGAAATAAAGTCATGCTTTTGTTTATGCGTCAGTAAGATATACACATTTAAATTACGTCTAAACAAGAAATTATTGTCTATATTGGAATCTCGAAAGTTTCACCAAAATAACTAATAGTTTTTGTAACTATTTCTTACCAACATAGCCAAGAGTCAAAGCACCGATTGACCAAAGCTATTGGATATACAGTGTCAATTCTCTTTAGTTATTTCAGCTGTTAGTTAAAGTAAAATACATTATTTTCATACATTAGTATATCATACATCTAGTTAAAACGAAATGCATAAATATTTTCTTCACAAAATCAAGTTTTTATTTCCAAATTTCAGTAATAAAAACTCTGAATTCGTGGAGAAATATTCTACTCTCCGCGAAAGCTATCAAATTGAAATCTAAGAATTATTCTCTCATAGTCAGTTATCTTACTAAATTGATAAATACAGTAATTAGACAAAGATTGCAACATCTGATGAATGGATTTATGTCTTGGATACTTCATCACGCTCCATATCTTCTCGAAAGTCTATCGATGTTTCTCAGATAAAATTAATTCTCTTTCTATAGTAGAAAACAACATCTTTTTATACAGAAAATATTAAACGTCTTAGAACTCGAAAAATTCTTTAGATCAACTTGCTAAGTGTTTTGTTTTTTGTTAAGATTTTATCGACATATTCATTACAAATGTTAAACATCACTGATTCTATTATATCTAATCATGATGCATATTGGTATATAACTATCACTCTCCTCAATCAAAATATCTCAAGATATGGTATGAGTATTATATGGCTTATCGGAAATATTGGATCAATGATCAATTGTTGTATCTTTTGTCAACCAAAATTTCGCAAGAATCCATGTGTTATGTATTTGTTAGCTTCTAGTGCTTCTCAGTTTTTGACTTTCAATTTTGCTCTTCTCACAAGAATACTCTACATGGGTTACAATATGCAAGCAGTGAATACATTACTTTGGTATTGTAAATTTCGCTATTATTTTTTCTATATTTTTGTTGCTATTCCACGTTATTATATAATTTTGGCATCAATTGACCGATTTTTTGCTAGTTGTTCTGATATTTACTGGCGTCGATGGAGTTCATCAAAAGTTGCTATGAGATTAATCATTAGTAATTTTTTATTTTGGTGTTTAATTTACATTCAAGTTCTTGTGTTCTATGAAATTCAAAATAATAATTGTTCATTTAGAAATGGTGTTTATGCTATTTTCTTTAGTGTTTATCTATCGATTGAAAGTGGAATTTTGCCACCATTAATAATGTTCATTTTTGAATTTCTTACACTGAAAAATATTCGAAGCAGTAAACGAAGAACAAGACCATTAACAATAGTTAATGTTTCTCAAACGGAACAATTTACTAGATTGTCAAGAAGAGATTTACACTTTTCAAAAATGTTACTTAATCAAATATGTCTTTGGATTATTTTAAACATTCCCAATCCTTGTTACCTTCTTTATCAAACAATAACAATATATGATACCAAATCACTTCTACGTTTGACAATTGAATCATTTATTAACAATATGAGTTATTTTTTAATTTATATTGAATTCTCATTAACATTCTTTGTCTATATTTTGTCATCATCATTATTCAGACGTAAATTGAATCAATTAATTCGAAAGAAATTATTACGTCGTTTTTTATCAAATATAACTCTCACAAATAACATATAACTTGAGAAACTCTTTAAATTAACTTCAATTATCTTCTAGAAATATAAATAATGTTGATATTAAATATAGTTCATCATATTCTTATTTTTTTTTTGTGTATCATTATGTCGTTTATGTCTCATTTGTCTATTTGGAATTCTAAAATAAAAATTCGATGAATAGAGTAAATTCAAATCAGTTATGTTTATAAGATTTTATATGATTATAACAATACATGAGAAAATAAGAGTGGTTTTTCTTAGAAATAAGATGATGATCAACATGATATAAGTATCGTTGATTATGTAATTAATATATCTAATAGTTATTTAACATTGAAATGAAACAGCATTAATTCCTTGATGATGAAAATAATTTGATTGCCATTCTTTTTTTTTCATTGCAAGGAAGATGTTTTATGATTAATGACTAATCTTTGCCTATTCTAAGAATTTTGAAAAGCATAAGTGTGATCATATATTCAAATATATAAAATTAATACATACTTCTTCGATTCAATGTTAATAATCTCTTTTTAAGATTAAGACACTTTTAATACTTTTTGACATTTAAATTGAACAATTATTTCATTATTCAACTGATAATATCGATAATTATACCTGTGTTATAAACTAGTTTTGTATCTATTGTTATTGATGATAAGAACTAATTATATTTTGAATTTTTACTGTTGCATTTTATCTATCTACATTGAAACAACATTAATAGATACAACTATACGGTCTTGATCATGATCATATGAATTTTTACCATATCATTATGAAAAGAAAATACATACATATGAGAGACCATTTATATGTATACAATGTCCTAAAGCATTTATACAATTTGCTTGTTTTGAACAAAAAGCATGTACGTATTCCTGCAGGTAAATAACCAAGTAAAACTAATTTATTTAATTTTTTTTAAATATTTTAAAGGTAAGCGAACACATTTATGCCCATATCGTCCAAAAAGGTTTTCATTAAAATCATATGTAAAAACTTATCTATATTTACATACTAGAGATTAAACATATTTATGTCCAAAACATTTATGCTTAACACGTTTTACATAACTTGTCCATTTAAAATTATAAAAAGAAAAACTTCTAGATGAACAAACTATATCGTACAATTCATCATCATCTCCAATATCAAGAAGTTTTTAATTTCAATTTAATCAAATAGAAAAACAGCGTAAGAGTATGTGTCCGATTCATTCAATTTTTATAATTGTAATTCTTACAATGTCATTAGTAAACATATTTAATGTGAAAGAATTAGAAATTCTGACGCATATGAATAGATCAATAAATGTAATTGCAACAACTATTTTTAGTTTAAGTCTGTGAGATCGGGCGTTTCAAAATAATATACTGATTGTTAAATGATGATCAACGAGTACGTGAAGCGTGAATGTCAACAATGAAACAGTTAATTATAGCACCGATAGTAAATTTTATTAGGACTTTGAAGCATTGATATACTAGTATTAAAGTTCATATGTATACTTCAAAGAAGTATTGTAAATTTGGACAATCTATAATTTTATTAAATACTCCAAACTTTATGACAATGCTTAGTTTTTCTAGTCTTAATACATTAATACAGTCTTCTAATCGACAGTTCTTCTAATAAAAATTTGTTTTCTTCCTTTTATTTGACATCTTTCATATAACCGCTTTCTTCACTAAAGTCTTCAAAAGAAATGCTAAACTTGGTGTAAATCTAGAAATAATTATATTTTAAAATGATTTAAGATTCTAGATTTGAAGAAATAGTGCTATTACATCACCACTATCCATAGTCTTATAAAACAACAGTAATAATGGGAGAAACAATGGCCATTTGTGTTCGGTAAATTACGACGACATACGATGAAACTAAGTGCAGTGATTCGTCACTTTTGCCTATCGGTTTGACCATACTGGGATTCTTATTTTAGACTGCAATGAAAATCTAGTGCCAATATTTTAGTCTACATCCAAGTTATGTATAGATTTATAGGCTTTTTATTCTGCATATATCATTCTGTCAACTTCATCGAAAGAAGACATAGTCTGGTGTGGTATTCTGCAATAGTTGTAGTGTTTAGTTCAGAGAGTCACTTGATATACAGCTTTCTGCGACATTTTAATTTATTTTCGATATTATTTTAAAAAGATTGAATGTTATACAACATTACTTAATATATATTGAAAATAAATAGGAACTAACGTTCATTAATATCTATTTGTATTTATTCACGAGAATTAGATACGATATTATCAAGGATGCTAAGATAAACGAAAGATCTTCGTCAAAGAATTTCATCCGAATGATTTATAAATATTCTGTCTATGAATTATAGTCAGTGGAAACCAGTATTGCATGTGTCACTGTCATCAATTATAAACTAAATTTTGTTTTATAAAGCAAAATCTAAATATGAATGGACGAAGAAATTGCCTCACATAAATCAAAAAAATAAAATATTTGAACGATACCTGAAACGAAGAAAAAAAAGACATGTATTTCGTACTTAATATTGATATTATAGTAGAAGAAAGAACTATATACATATATGTATGACTTTGAATCTTGTCTTCGCCTGACAATTAATCGATATGCATCGTCACGACTCAGTTATTGCAAAAATCTGAATTCAGAGCTTATCACTATATTATATAGTTGCAGTGCATAATTCTAGTATATTATTTACAAAATAAAATAACGCTTCTGTTTTTCATTTATATTTAATGAATAACTAATGAAATCGTGTAATCATTCTAAATATTATTTTTCAGATCCTATTGAGATATATTCTATCGTTCATCATGCTGAAAATATCTATCTGTCGATCAGATACAATCATCACTGTCAGTGATCCTTGATATATTTGCAAGTGCATTTCAGTTATCAGTCAGAAACTTGTTATTTGATAGCTTTGTTGGGCACTATAAACTTACACGATCATTGTACTTCAAAACTTTATATTTTTGTGGCTTAATGACTGATTATACATATAGGATTACCTATAAGTTCATCATGAATATTCAGCAATAGTTATATATGGTTGCAGTCCAAATCAGAATGAAACGTAATTTTTCTTTTTGCGCTCTGCCTTTTCGGAATTCCACGTCGAATTCGATAGTCATCAGTTGTCAATATTTTTTTTTTTGGTCAATCCAGCAAAATACTATTTCATTTGCACATTAGGCTTAAGATGTCACTAACGATTAGCTATTATTATAGTCCTAATATCGATCGAAGAAGGAAAATGAATGAACCAATGACATTCGCTAATAATGCGGGACAAAGACTTCAGTTGTCAGAGCAATCAAGTTTTTTTTTTTTGAATTCATTCTTTTAAAGAACAATGGGATCTAATAGAGAACAACAACTTGTTGATAAAATTCGACAATTATTACCTGATTCAAAAAAGAAATATACATGGGTTGATATTGAAAAAGTAGATTTTCTTATTTATTATTATCCATATGAACATATATCTATGAAATTTTATTTAGACAGATAAATTACAAGATTTAGCATTTGAACTTACAAGTACCTATTTTGGCGATTTTTTTACTACACAACAACAAGCACCAATTGATCGTCTTCAAGCAGCTGCTTGTTTTTTGTAATCAATATTTTTATTGTTCGATAATAAAAAAAAAAAAATAATTTATATTGTCATTATTTTATTTGGTAGAAATTTTTTACATACAATTGCTGATTGTGAAAATGATGAAGCTGAAGCAGATGAAGGTCATTATGGTCTTTGGCTACTTACAGTGTCGAGTATGTTGAAATTTATTGATAGATTTCAGTTTTTTTTTTTGTGACACTATTCTTATTAAAATAGATCAAGAAGAACGTCTTATGCATTTAAATCAATTAGCTGATTGTTTACTTTTATTTAAGCGAACAATGGGTTCAATTGAAACTCTTCAAAAAGAAGATGTAAATTAATTCCAAATATTAATTATTTATTATTTATACAAATAATTTATTTCTGTTTTTTTTTTAGGCTGCACTAAGAGCGGAAGCAAAAAAAATGAGTAATGAAATAAATTTTTATCAAGAAGAAATAGCTTCAAATAAAGAACAAATTGAATTAGTAAGATCTATTTAAAATAATAAAATAGAATAATATATGAATTATTACTTTTTTCTTTTGTAAATTAGTATAAAACTGAAATTAAAAAACAAACAGGAATTAAAGTAGATACAATGAAACAAATTGAAAAACTCAATATTGATATTACTCGAACACAAAATAATTATACTACTTTAGAAAAAACAGATGTATGAAATAGATTTTTCAAGGAAATTTTTTTTTCGAAATGTTTTTTTTTTATCGGTAGAATGAACTTGATAGTGCATTAGAAGCATTGAAAGCTCGTGAAAAATTATTAGAAAGTCAATTAATGGTTTCATCACTTAATGATATTCTTTGTGAAAATGGAAATTATCTTAAAGAAAATGCTAAAGTTTGTGTTCTCTCTCTCTCTCTCTCGAAACTTCTTTGAAAAAAAAAACCAACCGAATTATTTTATTTAATATAGTTACAAAGTGAAATTCATTTAATGAAACATGCTCGTCAATTACAAGATGATAAACAACATAATGTACTTGAACCAGCTATAACAAGTGTTAAAGCAATGTGTGAACAACTTGATGGTCTTACACCACGTGCTATTACTATTCAGTAAGAATATTTGATTTTATTTGATATTTCTATTTGATTAATATTTTAATAGAAATCTTTCAAGTAATATTGATCGTCTTACACGAGATATTGAAAGTACACGAGAAACAACAGAAAAATTACGTGTACTTAATCCAATTGGTACTGAAGATGATTCATCATTTACAACAATGCTTACTAATGCTCAAGTGTTAGTTGAAACATTCTACGAAAAGACCTTTTTTTTCTTTTGATTATTATTTTTGTTTTTATTTAGTGAATTAGCACAACAAAAAGAAAATTTTGATAAACGTACGGCTGAATTTGAACGTACTACTGTTGCTTATGAATTGATTAAAAGATCTGTTGATGATCCAAATTTATATAAAGATGTATATGCAATGGAAAAACGTGTAGAAACAGCTAGACAACAAGTAGATTAATATTATATTTCTAAATACTTACTAAATTATTTTTCTTTTTTTAGCATGAACAAACAAAAAATAAAATAATTCAAGTGATGACTGAAGCTCTTGACGTTCTTGAATAATTTACTCTCTTTTTTTTTCTTCTATATTTGTGTAATTTTGAAATAGAGAATATATTCTATATGTATAAAAATAATAGTTGAGATCTAATAAAAGAACAAATTTAATTCTTCGCATTATATAACATATTCTTTCTTTTTTTTTTTATTACCACAGTTCAAATGAATATTTTCAATAATCGGAAAAAAAAAGATTGTTATTGTATCATTGAAAATTTTACAACAAGTGAAAGGATAACTTAAGATGTCGAGGTAATCTCTAAATTGACGCTTCACAGTGTGTGCGGAAGAATTTTACTACTAAATATTTTAAGAAAAGAAAAGTAATTTTTTGGATTTGCTTGATGAAATAGCACTGCATGTGAGTGAAAGCATAGAATTGAACCGAAAAATTTCTTTTCTCTTAAGAATATCTTACTTACAAAATCCTTTTATATACGCACTGGAACACCAACTTAAGAAAATGTCAGAGAAAAAAGAATATGTCAAACGTATCTTTTTGAATGTTTGATTATCTTGTTCATGAGATCAGGTTAACAATCTAATGTTATTTGCAGAAATGAAAGAAGTGAATACATCTAGATGATTTATATACATATACTAGAAAGCAATTCTCATAGAGATGTTTTAAAAATCAGTTGAGAAAAGTTGTCATTCATATACGATATTAAGATAATAATTGTATTGCTTGAAACCTTCTCTTTGACTTCCCAAATAAAAATAAAAAGTATTCATGAGGAGCTTGTTTATTCAAATATACCACTTCTTTTTTAGTAAATAACAGTTTATTAAATAAATATATCCAAGATAGAAATGAAAATACAATTTCAAAAACAACAAACAAAGATCTAACTTATTACAAAGCTTTTCTTTTTCGTCTAAATAAAGTCGATTTTAATGGGCAGGAAATAGGGAAAACAAAAAGTCAAATTGAATATAAATGATACTAAAAAATGTAACAACATTGAGAAAAGCAACCACTAGTCCTAATGTAGAACTAGTTGTATATTAGACCGATTCGTGATTCCTATTTTACTACCGACAAATCACAGTATTTAGACATATGATTCAATTATGTACAACACTACATAAGGATGATGATACCATCTGAAAAGTTAAGATTTATGCCATGAAAAGAATACAAAGGTACTTGAATGTTGACATGAACATCTTGAATTTATTGAAATGGTAGGAAAACTGTATTCATAGTCGAATAGTGAACACTGTGGCAGACCGAAACTCCAAAATAGGATAGAATTATGAGGATTATCGGAAATTTCTAAAGCAACTACTACTTTCATGCAAGATTTCATGTTCAATTAGAAGAGTTTACTAAATATTCGTATTTATACTCATATGTAATGTTTCTTGTCCTTGAATAGATTGGTCGTTAGCTTCTGAACTTCTCTAAATTATTTCTCTAGAATGCTAACAAAATATTTTTTGGTGATTTTATTTTTCATCATTCCGATCAGTTCTATACTACAACTAATTGCCATGTCTAGATGTCTAGAAATATTTGATCCCTCCATCCCCTTAATCTGGATTCCCGTTATGGATGACTCTGAAAGACTATTACATGATTGATTTTAAACAAGAACTCAGAATAAATACATTAAAGAATGTCGGTTTGTAATAGTATATAGTCTTAACCTATATTTTAAATTTCTATCTCAGTCTGCATATGTATTTCATTGCACTATATAACATCCTTGATTCTGAAAATAGATCGAGAAAACAAATATTGATGGATTTAGATTGTATCAATATGATTGGTAAAGAAAGAAGATCATCCTTAAGACTGACTCGTTCATTTGAACTCGGACAGTATGGGAAAAAGAATTGCGTCGCATAACGTACTTCAGATCAAATATGACATTAGTGTAGTACTGCGATGATCAAAGTCAGAAACTATAATATAATATTGCAATTAGTAATCGATGTAAATTTAAACAGGAGATTAAAACATTTTTATTGTTGATTCACAGAATTATCTTACTTCATACTAAAGTTGAATGCTTATTTTTTTTGTCCCTCCTAGGTATGGAAGCAGTTAACTAGAATATAGTTTTATATTTAACTAAAGAAGTTTTTATCTTTCATCTTTCTACTTGTTCGATATATGTAACAATGAAAAAATACAAATTTTCCATAAAGAAGATGTTCATGATTTCAATAGTTGAATATTGATATCAAACGCAATAAAATGTATTCCTACACATAATGAATAATCATAATAGAAAGTCATCTATACTTTCCGGATATTTATATAGAACGTGTACGCGTTTGACAATATTTAAAAACAATATTCATAACTTTGCTGACTTTTTTCATAATCTTACCCTCAACAAATGGAAACTTTATCAATTTTATCAGGTTATTGACAAATGTTGTAACAAAAATCATGAAATATCATGGTAGCTGATCTATTAATTTTGTTTTCTTACTAATGTGGTAAATATTTGTAATTTCTAACAAAGGAAGTGTGATTATTATTTTAATGATATAATTTCTCTTTTAGTTGATTGATTCTAATAACCATCTGTCTCATAACGTTACACATTTGACATCTGCTCAGTTAAAAAAGCTATATTTAAGAGGCATTGAAAATTATTTTGTTCATCTAATCGTTTATTCTAGTTTTTTTCAAAGTCAGCAAGCTTGACGCCTCTTCGTTTCTGATTATTAACTTTTTTCTTATATAAAAAGAAAGAAACGCTCTATATATTCTATTGTAATTGTTCAATATAATTTCTTACAATAATTTTATCAATTGATGATGATGATTTCAACTGATACAAACATTATTCTTTTCATTGTTTACATGTATATTATTACCAGTAAGTATTAAGTTTTGCTTTCAATCAATCAATCAATCCTATTGACTATACTTATTTGAATAGATACAATTTATTCATTCAGTATTCCTAATCAAGAAACACTTAATAATATTGCAATGAACCCTTATTCAATTGATGATGCACTGTCTCGAATTGATGAATATGGATCAATAAAAAAAATACATCCCGAACGAGTCAATCCAATTTTTAATGCACGTCGTTCAGAATCAGCTGAAAAATATTTCGGATGGGCTAGTAAAACAAATCGTAAGTTATTCAAAAAACTAATAAATAAACAAATCAATATTTATTGTCTATTTATTTTTCTTTTTGCTTTATTAGGTCCTGTGGAATATTTTCGTGGAAGACGTTTTTGGTTATTCACAAAAAAAGATGACCAATCCCCAAACTTCGAAACATTACCTAATGCAGTTTCACCATCAAATTCATTAAATCAAGGTATATGGCGATCAGGCATTGTTGGACGACGACGTCGTTAGATAAAGAAGAAAACAATTTTAAAATCAAATCTTTTCTTTTTTTTTTCTGTCGCTCTTATCTTCGCTTGTAACTTATTGTGTTAATCATCCTTGTTCATCGTTATCAGTGAAAAGTCTTGTTAACTGTATGTTTTCATGGATTATTCCGATAAAAATTGATTCAAACATGAAGATCACAATTACAAAAAACAAGCATTTAGTTTTATAATATAATGCCTATATGAGATAGTAGTGAATAATTGTATTCAAACAACAAAGAACATCAACACCTAACTGTTCTCGAGTTTAGAATTATGGACAATTTTCTTTTCATTGTAATTTGACAAAAGATACATATGCGATAGATCTATGATGTAGAGAAACTATGAATTTATTCAAGATAAATACTATCGTTTAAGTAGTTCATTCCCATTTAATACGTCAGATGAATATGTAAAGTAATTGTTTTAACCTCTTTTCATATTCTAGTGCAAGAATGTATCTACGTCATTCAATTAATGGAAAATTTTTACATTATTAAAACTTTATTTTTATTCGTTATTTTAACACATTGAAGGCAGTTTGATTCTACAGAATTGCTGAAAAGGTTTTTCTTCCAGATGTATAGCTTAAAAATAAAAATGAATTTTATATTAAATGAAAGTTCATGAAAAATGGGGTTTAGCAGTATAACGGATGATTCATAGAATGACAATATGTTAGAGAATCATAGAATGACAATATGTTAGAGAATCATAGAATGTATCAAACTTTTAGACGTATAATTGGATGTTTTCATGAGTAGTCAACTATAAAGATCATCGATTCTCAGAAAAAGTTTTTCATCTATCTAGGCTTTGTGGTATTCTTTGTACTGATTATTCCAGTAAAAAGAAATTTCATTGAACTAATTAATAACAATGCTAAGATCAAAAATACTATTGACAAATATTATAACTCTAGATATAGGTCTATCTAAAGTTATTCAGTATTTTATTTTATCGTCGTCATTTATTTGTCAAGGTAAAATTCGTTTTTATCAACACAATCAATCCAGGCATCCTCACAGAGTCTAATAGATGAATGAACTTTCGGAGAATCTTTGATTTTTGCATCGGACTATCCATTGTACACTAATATAGGATTCATCGGTGGATTAAATTGCCACGAATATGTTAATTATTACTTCAACATTATCTGAGACGAAGAAAAACTGAATTTAAACCTAAAAATGTAATGATAGTTAAATTTACAAGTAAAGGAGCACACTGAACGTTTCCATCTAAAGCACAGAGAAGGGTAAAGAGTACTAATACATTCTAAAGTCAGATGTTATTTGATATATTTACTTCCTTCCTTTTAATTTAATCGAGAGATAACTGACATAACATCCATCGATATGACTTTGCAATTCCAATAACTTATGCTTGAGATGGGAGAACCGTATTGCCGGAAAGTTCAAATACAATAACTATGCAAAGACTTTCATAAAAAAAAATATTAGCGTAGGAAATTGATTTGCTTATTGATAAAATATAGAAATGAAGTCTATTGTTTTAGATTGTATTGCATTTGATTGACTGAAAAAATTCGTTTCCATCTTATATATTTTTCTATTAAAAATAAACTTCTTGACTAAAATCCAATTCAAAACAAGTCTAAAAGAATTACACATCTTTTGTACAAGTTTTTCATATTAAAATGAATTTTCTCAGTCAACATCACTCTGAAACCATACATATTAAGAAACATCTACAAAACCATTCACCGACGAAGTTGTCAAAAAAACATTACTTTTTGAAAAGAGTTTTCTACTTTGAAAGAGCATAAAAGGTTTCTCATTAACCCTAATTTTGACAACTTTTGAACAATGCTTCTAATATTTCAGCTACCTAATCGTTCTCACCTAAAATATTTATTTCTTAAAGTCTATAGTTTTTCTATCAGTTTTTTGTGAATTTTTTCCTCACAAAAAAAAAATTTGATCAAACCTATTATCAAATTATATCAATCAGTGAAGCGGAAGCGGCTCTACAAAACTCTATATTTCATATACTTCATTATGTACGTCATAAGCCGAAAAAATCCATCATAATAGGTGAAATCAATCATTTTTTAATTTATTTTACATGATTTGTTTTATCTCTCTTGTCTTTTAGCTACACATTATCGATATTTTATAAACACGTTTATAGCAGTATTATTTTATTTGTGGCATTCATTATATAATGATACTCAGAAATTTGAATTTCTTGAAAATTCGAATTCACGATGTCGTCAGCTATAGTCAATGTTATGTATAGTAACTACTCGGTGTCTTAGCTGTGCCGCAGTCATTTATAACAGAACGTAACACATGACATGGGTAAAAGAAAGAATGACTAAAATAGTAACTAGTCTATTATTTCCCATGAACTTTTAATGACTATGTTAAGTAATGATAAACAGAAGTAGAAACTGTTCTAGATATTATAGCAGTTTGTAACAGGAACATGATTTTAGATATCTTTACCAATGGGTATAAATAGCAAAATATATACAGTGAAGTATGATTAATGTTACTTCTTTGCAGGATGTAAGGTAAAAGAGAATTTTGGTATGGTAATAAATATCATGAAAGTGAGAAAGAAAAGGGTTGATAAGTGTAAGTCTCAATTGAACATTTTATCAAGTGTTTTCAAAAAGAAGATCACTCACTAAGGTTAATTAAAGCTAATGAAACAATATATTATTGACTGATAGAAAAATGACTGTTCTTACAAGTCGTTTTACAAACTTAAGTAGAAGCTGAAAACAAACATTTGTCTTGGTGTACACCTAACTTTTTTTTGTTGTCATATGCTCAAGCATCAGCATGATTGATGAATATATATGCACATCCCGTGCTGAAGTGACACTGTTTGTTGAAGTTACTCAGCATCAAGTAAAAAACAAATAATAATCATGTGACTGATGATTTTATAAATAAAATATATAATTGTAGCTATTTTATATCTTAATAACACACGATTATTTTTATACAGATTAGTAGATGATGTTATCATTGTAGAGAAAAACTAAGAATCAGAAGTTTCTTTGTCAAAGTCTTACATAGATATGCACTTAATTCGAATTCTGGCTGAATGTTCGAGACGAATGATTCGTATATGGGTTCGAAACTTATTCAATCAGTTCAGACTGCGTCAGATATTTGGTTTACTGTTCAAGCATTTCTTGAGATACATAGGCACTCATAGAAGTACCCTAAAGTTTCGTTAAGTTCGAATTCGAGAATTTCTAAACATAGTTAGCTTTTTTTAAGTACGTCTGTAGACCTTCCTTTTTAAGATCATTAATTTCAATGGTTGTAGATGTATCCCATAGTTAAATCTGAAATTTTTTCTTTTGGCTTACTCCTATTTCCTTTTATTAATTGACTGATATTGATTGCAATCAAGACCAAATCAGGACTTTCGAGTTCGGTGCATGAGTAATCTCATTGAATTTAACTATGAATGTCGATATTTACTTGATCGTTTAGTAGAAAAAATAAGAATAATGGGTCAGTTACGATGTGCTATTTATTATCGAAAGATAAGTCTTGATATTTAGATAAAATACTTTTCAATCAATTAAACTTAGACTTTTGCACGTCTTGGTCTAAGTTGTGATCACAAAGATAATTAATTTCATTGATGCGTAAACAATTTTTTTTATACATTAATCATCCACTTAATTCTTATTTATTTCAAATTAGAACACTGTACTTGTTACCTCAATTTAATCAATAACAGAACGTTCTACTATCTGTATCTTACAACAAAAATCTAAAATATTAAATGTTTTTTAGGGTGTTAAATTTACGTTATTAAAATGAAAAATAAACTATAATTAAAATATTTTGTTCATAATATCAACAATTCATTTATTTTTATTTGTTATTGAGTTCATATTCAATAACTTTGACTAATAATGGGGCTACAGTACAACATGAATATACATATGATCAACGATTGACGTCTGTTTTTTTTTTCAAACGTGCTTTCGTTAATCATTAAAGGTTTATTTACTAAGAAGAAGACGCGTGATAAAAAATGTTCTTTTTTTTTATTAACATACACAAAAAAAAATATTGAATAAATGTTTCGTATGTTTATTTAAAGAAGTCACCGTTTGTCTTATTTGAAAAGAAAAGAAAACTGAGTATACAAAAAAAAAGAAAAGGAAAATATGGACAAAAAGATTAATTTGGAAACACTATATGCTGATCTAGTTTAGAAACAAATCAACACATAGATAGAATGAAATTAAGCGAATATCTATCTATATATAGTATTAAATATATATATATATATGTATATAGGTTGGTAGTTTATTTTTTTATGTATCATTCAATGTTCATCAACTTATGGAGGTGGAGATTGTTCTTCACGAATTTCATTTTGATGTTGTAAACGAAGTGGTTGTGATTGTTCTCGACGAACACGTCGTTGTTCAAGTAATTGTTCATGACGAACAACATCATATTTTTCTTCTGTTTGAAATAATGTAGCACGATTTTGATGTTGATGTTCATCTTTTTTAATCCAATGTCCATAAAGAAGAAAAGCAGTTGAATCAATCATTTTACGATAAGATTTAAATCGATATGGATTTTCTAAATAAATAAATAGATGAAAATAAAAATAAGAATTTTTTTTTTTTGTTTTCTTCTTACCTAATAATTCTTTTCCACGTATAGGTTGTGGTCTATAATGTAATGTTCTTAAACGATGTATTGACCAAATAAGTATAATATGTGCTTTAAGCGTTCGTTTAGGCATAAAATCTCTTCGTCGTGTTCGTTCAACATTAAAAAATGGATGTTGAAGTGCTTGTGCAGCTGTATAACGTTCAGCTGGATCAACAACTAATAAATGATGTATTAAATCTTTTGCTGTTTCAGATACATCATCCCATTCAGATCCAGTCATTGTATATTGTCCATCCATAATCATACGAAACATTAAATGTTGTTTACGATGCCAAAATGGTGGTAAACCACTAAGTAATGTAAATAATATAACACCACATGCCCATAAATCAACTGGAAGACCATAACCAGGCATGCCTTCATATTGAGAACATTGTAATAGTTCAGGTGCCATATAACCTTATTGAAAAGATATATTTAAAAAGTGAACTAATAAATTATTGTTATTTACCAGGTGTACCAAAAAGATCATATAATGCTTCATTCTCAGATACTTGTACAGCAAAACCAAGATCAGTTATTTTAACATTCATATTTGCATCCATTAAAATACTTTATGATTCAAACAAAAACAAAAAATAAAAATATTTTCATATTTTTGTTTTTTTCATATTAAAATTATCTTACTTCTCTGGTTTTAAATCTCTATGAACAACATGATGTGAATGTAAATGATCAACAGCATGTAATATACTTGACATTATTTGACGCGTACGTTTTTCTATAGATGAAAAAAAATAAAGAAAAAGAAAATAAAAATAAAAAAAAAAAATTTTCATAGTACAAACAAACAAAGAAAACAAAACACAAATATAACCTGATAAATGAACAACTTTTGTAAGATAGTCAAATAATTCTCCATTAGGACATAATTCCATAACAATAAATACATAGTTCGGCGTTTCAAACGATGCAACTATATCAATTATATTTGGATGATCACCGACTAATTTAAGTATTTGAATTTCACGTAATGTAGCATCACGTTCTTCTTGACTGTCATCATTAAATTCAATTATTTTACATGCATATTCTTTTCCTGTTGCTTTTTCTACACATTTACGAACAACTGATGATAAACCTTTACCAATAACTTCTTTTGGTTCGTATTTTTGATAAAATTGTCGAGCTAAAATTGAAAAAAAAAATATATATCAAGTTGTTAGTACAATCTTTGCGGGATTAGTATGTGAAACACGATGTAGTTGTTGTTGATAATGATAAGAAGATTGTTTTCTTCTAGTGATTTTGAGACACTTTTCTTCACCATCCCATTATTGAATCCTCCAGAAATGCAATAGGGTAGTACTTCATATATTATAAAATGTTATTAATATACGGTCAAAGACCGTATATCAAGAACGTCTATCACGGTCTCTGAAGTTTTCATGGTTAAGTTTATCATGATCTGCGATAACTCGTTGTTAATATGTCTGTGGGAAGTGCAAATGTCTACCTCTATACTTCAACACTTCTTTTAGATCATGTTTCACAAAAGGATACAATGATTGTTGAATGTTTAATTTCTAATCTTACCACTTTCTCGATCCGGTAAGTCATCGTCAATATCAAATGCCATGATAAATGTCTTTTATGTAATAAAACAAAACAGTTTACTATTTATTGACACATTTCTTGTCTCATTACATATCTAAAATTAAAAATTATCTTTTTCTAAGCATGAAAATAATTGTTAATTAAAGAAATAGAATTTGTTGTTTCTTTTGTTTTCTTTGTATTATATATTATTTTCCCAAGATTTTTTAATAGGCAAAATGACAAATAACATTAACAATAAATATGTCATCTGTTTATTTTTTAATTTTATTTTTGCTGTTGATTTTGTGGTTCATCATTATCATCATCACTAGCATCTTCTTCGCTATCAAAAGAATTCTCAGGTACACTGTAGATCTATTCAAAAAAAAAAGAAAAATTATTCTATTTTTAAACAAAGATTAATGAAAATAATTTGTCTCACTCGAAGAGTTGGCTAAAAAAGAAATAAACGAAATTAATTTAAGAAATTTTAATCGTAATAAATGTATCAAGAAGAATGGCACTATTATTTCTTTTAAACTATTTTTTTTTATAATAAGAGATGCTGACATTTAAAGCTGTTTTATATCTAAATACATCAAAAATCTCTTCTAAGTGAAGCTGTGTTGTCAATCATGAAGGGCTCAAAATATCAATTTAAAATGGTGTTTCAAACTAATTTGATTAATTCAACAAAATCACCAGAACATTATAGTATAGTTTGACGAAAGACCTGCTAATCATATTCTTACATCAGGATAGCTCTGTTCTATACTTGTTAAAGACGGAATTTTTCAGTATGACAATGTGCAATTACATAATCACATTTTATCTGAAGTTTTTTTTTACCGTTACCGATATGAACAGATAGCTATGAATTGTTCGCTTATTTAATCCATGAAAAACTAACACATGTGATGCAATGCAAAGTCGAAAAGAAATATTGGCTAAACATCTCTGAATTGGCTTTAAAGCTGATGATGAATGGTACGCAGATGGTAATTGAGTAGTTGATATGTGTGTAAATTAAAGTGGTGGCTGATATGTTGGTAGCTATGTCGATATCAATGCTAATAGTTGAATCAAACGTGACATAGATTGATTGTTGTTGATTTGTGAGCGTCTTGTAGCAAGCTTTAATGTAAGTTGATTATTTTCTACTTGCATATAAAGAAGATGCTTGGAGAGGATGGTGGTTGTGAAGTTTGTGAACACTCGACACAAGCAACACAACCAGAAATTGATAATATTTCATCTAGTATATTTTTAGGGTGGTAAAGAGAGAGTTAGTCATTATTGTTTGACTGAAATAATCGACTTTCGAAGAGTCGACAAGTACAGATAAAGAGGACATTAAAACATCTGCATTGTAGTGGATGAGGGAATTAAACGATTGATGGAAGTCAGCTGTTGGTGATGTTGAATGAAGAGATAGTTGAATAATGTTATCGAATCAGTCAAACAAAGAATGTTCCATCGATGATGGAGTAGTTAATCATGCAGATAATATTTGTCCTGATGAGAGACAGCATCCATAGCATCTCTTCTGCGAAGGTTATCATTTGTTATGTCGTGAATGTTGTATCAGACGCAAATATTGAAGATGTCAGGTATCACAATGATAATGATGGCAAATGACGAGAACAAGAGAAAATCAGAATTGAATGTGAAGGAAGATCCAACAGTATATTTAGTAAATAGAAAGAGAGAGTGAGGAATCTGAGAGAGAAAGGAGAATAGAAGTGAATGAACAAAAAAATTTGAATACAGTGAATGTAACTAATATAAACGAAAATATATCAACATCAAAATGTGAAATGAGGGCAAAAAAAGAAGCATAAAACTTATAGGAAGAAACAAATGCACATACGTAATAAGCATCGGAAAAAAAACAACAGTGAAGGTTGTGCTGTCACATCCTTCTCTCCCTCGGAGTAAAAGGTCATGACTTTCTATTATGGAAACTGATATAGCTGTTTCAATTTGTGAGCTCCTATCGTGGGCTAGCTCTTTTTGCTAAATTTACCGAGAAAATTAAGGATTTTTGAAAAACTTCTCTCATATGCCAACAAATATTCTTAGTGACGAAGTGCCGAAAAACCAGGGGTTTTTCAGAAAAAAGTGATTTTTAACTCAAAAATCAAATTTCTAGGTGTTAGAGCCCTCAAAAAAACTTTTGAAAAATCTATGACCTTCTAGTAGATCTTGTAAAATTTTTTCTGTTAGTGTTCTTCTATCCTGGTAAATTAATACTATCAGTGATTTCTCAGACGAATTCGACTAGAAGTTTTTTAAGAAATTTTCGATTGATATCTCTATTTTCAAATATGGTATTGACTACATAGCGATTAAATACTTGATTTTAGTAGACATTTTTAATATAAAACAAACAAAACTAGAAATCATATACTATAATAGTGCTATTCTTGATGATACACTAACTCAATATTGATATTTACCTTCATTGGATCTTTCGTAATTAAATAACGTCCATCAGGTTTACTCATAAAGATATCAACAAGTACTAGAAAAAAAAAACAAAATCTGAATTCACTTTAAATTTTTATTTGTACAATAAATGTACCTCGTACAATACCCCAACCATTATCCATATTCAAAGCCATTTGTGTAGCAAATTCTTGTGGTTTAAAATTTTGCATTCCAAGAATTGTGTGACGTGATGCATCTTTAAAATTTTGTCGTGATACATAACCAAATTTCATTTGATCTGAACCAGCCAAAATGGCACACGTTGTCCATTTAGCTAATTTAAATCCATTATTACGTAATTCAGCTGCTAACACAGCACCTCGTTGCATATCCAATTTACTTCTCCAATCAAGACAACCACTAGCCTATCGATTAAATTTTGAAATTATTTTTCTTTTTAAATAAGTTTAGATAGAATACTTTGGGATTCCATTCATTTAATGCTTTTATGTTAACAAATTGATCTTCACCATTCGGTCCAGTTTGAACACAATCTTGTTCACAACGAATAACAATAACTTGATTATTACCTAAATCCCATGCACGATAACGATATGCAACTGATGCAGCTTCATTTTCTTCATCTGGTTGAATAAATGGATTAGGATTTGGAAATTTATATCGTTCTTCATTCTGCAAAAAAAAAACTGTTCGCAGAATTTCTGTAAGATTAAAATGTGAAACACGATGTAGCTGCTATTGTTAATTCAGTGCTTTGTCCAACAAGGGATTTGAGGAAACAGCACCTCTTCAAAGATTAGCTTGGTTCCCTTCGATCTGTTTTGAAACATAATTCTTCATCATCCTTTTTTCATCTTTCAAAATTCCAATAAGGTAGTACTTTATATATAATAAGACAATGTTATCGATATGCAGTCTATGATTGTATACTAACATCGTTGACATCTATCGATCACGTCTGTCATGAGCAGAGGGTGAATGCAAATTGGTATCCTATATTAGAGACCTACATCGGATTCTGAAATCCGACGACATCAAAGTTTTTAAAACAAACTTTTTTGAGAACCTTAGTTTATGTAAATTGGAGAGACCCGAAAATCCTATTTCATTATTTTCTTATGTGACATTCAATAAATGGAAACTGTCAATCCTCTAGCTAAATAATATGAAATAGGAAAAAAAAACAACACATCGTATTTCACAAAATTAAATCTATTGATTTCTTTGTGTAAAAAAAATAACAATTTACGTACCATTTTAAGAACTTGTTGTGCAAAATTATGATTAATGAATACAGCTTCCATTCCTAAACTTTTTGCTGAATCCATTGTACCATCTTCTGGTGGTGGTTCATTTGCTGTTTCATTGACTGTTAACATATCTACGAAAACAAAAAGACACAAGACATGTATAACTAAAAAAAGATTCTGATCTTAAATTTACCGATTGTTGAATCTTCACGTTTATCAAAAAATAAACGTGTTCCTAATTTCTAATAGTAAACAAAACAAAATCATTTAATTAATTACAAAAAAAAAACAAAACGATATAAGATACTTACATCAACAACAATATCCCATGGATAAGCAGATCTTGTACAACACATCAATGTTGAAATAATAGCATCTGTAGCAAACACATTTCCATGTGTTTTACAAATCTAAAATAATTTTCAGAAAAAAACTAAATCATTGTTGTTTTTTTCAAACCTGTCGAATAACTGGATCTTTTGTTGTTGTAATTTTATGTATTAAACGATTGACCATCGTTAATTTCTTTTCAGTTTTTGTTGTTATACGATCATATCGTTTATCATAATATTCAACTGAACCCCAAACACTCCTATACAATCAATTAGATAGTCATTTCTTTATATGATTTATATTAATTTACAATTCTTCAGGTTCAGCAACATTTGGTAAACTTAATTTAGCCAAACTAGAAAATGGAATTTCTTCAATAACTTGCCAATCGTCTCGTACACGTACAGATGGTTCACGTTGTTTAGCTTGTTGCTTTAAAATAAAAAAAAAAATAGACTTCTATTTTTTTTTTGTATTTCCAGATTTTTCTTTCTTACATGCTGACGTGGATCAGTGCGATTTCCATATTGTTTTTGCCATTTACGCATTTGTCGCATTTGATCCCTATTTGTTATATATTAATTTAAAAGATAAAATTTATATTTCATATAGTTACATTTCTAGATTTTTCATTGTTTTAGATTTTTTCTGTGTACCAACAAATGATTTTTGCATTGGAGTAAAACGACCACCTTGTGTTTGTTGTTGACGAAAACGCTATTAGAAGAAAAATTATTATTATTATTAATTGTTTTTGTATTTTAACGAAAGTATGTGCCGAATGTTTCTAAACAAACTATTTGACTATTCTTTACGCATTTAAGTGTATTAGTAGTGTAATAGAATGAGAATTTTCTGTTCTTTCCGAATATATCTTAGAATTTTTCTATGACTTTGGACTAGTGCGCTAGAAGCAAACCTTGATAGGACTTAAATAAATTTCCTAGAGAGAAAGAAATCTTATTTTTCTGTAGACAAGTTTGCTTCCTGTAGACATCCAATAATT